TTTTATGATTGTGTGTATTAGCTAATCTTAGAAACTTGAAATAGGAACCGTACACAAAAAGTATTACTATTTTCCTGTTCTTTTCATATGTTTGTAACAGAGTAGAATCAGAAGTTACTTAGAATCAAGGAGACCCTCAGTGAAATCATTTTTCAACTATAGCCCTTCCAGTTTCAGAAATAATTTGTATATAACCCAAAATATATAACTTTGTTGAACATTTTTTTCTCATTTGTCTTGCTCTCTCTCTTCCCCCTTTCCCGATTTCAGATGGCTGACGCTGGATTTATTCACTGTCCTGTTGAGAATGCTTCCGATGTGGCACAATGTTTTATATGCTTTAAAGAATTAGAGGGATGGGAACCTGATGATGACCCCATGTAAGTACTCTGGAATTGTTATCCTAAGACTTTTAATGATACCAAGTGAGTTTTAGGAAAGATAGCTGAACAAATGTACTTAGACAAATCTTGCAAAACATTACATTTCATTGGTATAATTAAGGACGATAGAATTCTATACAAATATAGAATTGTAGTATTAGATATTAATAATTTATTATGTTATCTACTCTTTTTCCATAGTCCTGTTAAAGCCACGTCAAACAAATTAAGATATTTTCCATCGTTTAGCCACAGAAACAAAGGAGTCAGAAAAGCAAGCCAGCCCTTGGGAATTTTTGCTTCAAGAGGCACCAAAGTGATACCCCCTCGGGAACAGTGGGAGGGACTCTCAGCCCCTAAGGGAGCCCGAGAAATGTCCCAGTCTTCTGACTCCATCTTTGATGTATATAATAGCTTTTTATGTAAGCTTGCCCAAGCCTCTCCCAAAAGTGTTACACATTTTATCCAGTTAGAAACATAGGTTTTATGGCTATAACAGTGACACAGGAAGGTTGTTACTTATTCTATTCTTTCCAAAAGAATGGAAAGAACAATTAAAATAGTTCATTTAAAAAGATAGTCTGGTCCTAGAGCAGTGGTTCTCAACCTTTTTAATGCCGTGACCCCCAACCGGTCGTAAGTTGAGGACTAAACTGGTTGTAAGTCGAGGACTTTCCCTGCCCGAGAGCACCGCGCATGCATGGTTCCACCCCCTGCGCCGGCAGAGGCGTAGCTGGCAAGCGGCAGAGACGGAGCAGACCGACCACCAGCTGGCCCAGCTCAAGGGAGGTAAGGCACCCGCCGGAAAAGGGGAAAAAAATGGCGGACAGCCTTGCTTGGCGACCCCCGTGAAATGGTCGATCGACCCCAAATGGGGTCGCGACCCATAGGTTGAGAACCGCTGTCCTAGAGCAATTGTTATTCTACAAATGTAGAAATAGAACATAAGATAGAAAGGAAGGCAGCTGATAAAGAATTCCTATTTCTAGCTTCAGGGTGCAAGTCAGTTTCCCACAGGACCAAGAGCAGAGTTTCCCCACCTGGCATATGTACATGTTTGGGGGAAAGTAGTTGTTTAATAGTAAATTGGTGGACAAAAGGTTTGTGTGCAGTGGGGCATGGGATCCACATTAGGGTGGCATTCTTCACATGTAGTAGGCTTGCTAATTATTTTAATTGCCTTTAAAAATCCATTGCCTGATTATGACTTGTATTTCCAATTTCTAGGGAAGAGCACCGTAAACACTCCCCCAAATGTGCATTTCTTGCTCTACAGAAAGACATTTGTGACCTGACAGTACAGGAATTTATGAAACTTCGTAAAGAGAGGATGAACAATTTGATTGTGAGTATAACTTGCAAGGAACCATTAACTTAGCCTAAGTACTCTCATCACTCTGCAGGAGTTTGGTAGCATCTTTTCAGATTAACACATTTTATTAAAGACTAGCTGTACCCGGCCACACGTTGCTGTGGCTCAGTCTGGTAAAAGCGTGTGTTGCTTTTACGTCCAACAGATGGCGCTGTTTTTCAAAAAAAAGCATGTTTTTACCTGTCACAGGTGTGACATCTATATAATATAGGTATATAAAAACACGCGCGTTGTGTCAAAATTTCAAAGCAATCGGTGAAGAACTTTCGGAGATTTAAGATTTTGAACAAACGAACATTTACATTTTTATTTATATAGATTGAGCTACATCTCATCAGATGCATGAAATGCCAAACTGATATAAGAATTAAACTGGGACAACCCAGGGAATTGGGGACGGGGAGGAGAAGACAGGTTACTCAGATGTAGGTTACCTGCGATATAGATTACAAGTTTCTTATTGCATAACAATTGTGTTGTATTAAAGTCTATTGTGTTTGTCCAGACCTCCTGAGATAGCTTGAAGCCCTTTGACATAGGTGAGTTCAGCAATCTCTGATTCAGCAGTGTTGTCAAAGTTTCTTTTCTCCAAAATTGCTACTTTAACACCTGTAATGGAGTATCTATCCTGTGAGGTTGAAATGTTCTAATGTTACTTTGCCCTTGTTCTGAGTCATGCATTTGGTGAAGAAGCTGTAATAAAATGTGTTACCCTGAAAATATGCCTCAAGACTCCTTTCAGTTTTTATCATAAATTATTGCAGTTTTCCTTCTAGGATGTCTTATTACTCTGCTTTCCCTAGTGCAGTGATGGCAAACCTTTTAGAGACCGAGTGCCCCAAAACCGTTCCCGCCCTGCCCCCCACCCCTGCTCCGCCGCCCGCCCGCAGGGCCACCCACCGCCTCCACGGCCTGCCGCAGATCGCCCAGGCGGCCCTGTAGCACCATGGCCATGCCCTCTGCCCGCACCCCGCAGCATCATCTGCACGTGACGGGGCGCGAGGACGGAGTCTTGTCCCCGCTGGCCAGCTGCCATCTCCTTGGCTGCTCTGTTCTATGCAGGCCGCACCCGGGGGTGACTGTCCTCCGGGGGTGCTGCTAGTGAAGAGGGGACTGCGGGGGGAGGCGGGGCTGGGGCAACAGCGCGTGTGCCCACAGAGAGGGCTCTGAGTGCCCCCCTCTGGCACACGTGCCATAGGTTCGCCACCACTGCCCTAGTGTGTGGTAAGGGTCATATGGCTACATAGTCTTATACCCTAATTTAGCTACAGTGCGTAGGCCTGACTATTACTGGCTGATTTCTATCTTAAAGTGAATTATTTAGGTACATTTCTCTTCATCAGCATAATATCCTTGTATAGTTTTTTCTTATAACTCAAGAGCTGCCTATTTATTAATGAATATGTCTTTTTAATTTTCTTCTAGGAAAAAGAAGTTAAGCAGGCAATTATCGAGGTGGAGAAATATGCTAATCTGATCCGTGGACAAATAGACAACCTGCGTTCATAAACAGTATAATCCATTGGATGATGTGGGCTTTTTAACTGTCTAAATGGTATTGAGCAAAGTTGAATTGCTCAAAGTTTGCTGTTCAAGCTTAAGTTTTTTTTATAGTTATTTCTTATGGAATTCCTTCTGATGTGTTTATGAATAAATATTCCTTTTTATAAAATACCATGTTTATCATATTTTAATAGTTTCCTGGGCAAAGTTATTTTCCCAGTGTTGCCTGCAAACATTGCTCTCAAGTGCTAAATGAAGCCCTGATCCATTCTTGAAGTAGGATCAATTGAGAAGAGTGGGTGAACTGCTTTCTTAGGAAGGTGCTTTATTTTGATTATGTCTTTGGCTCTTTGGAATAGTTATCCTCATAGGGGTACTGTGAAAGAGCAGGCTGCTTAGAAAAAATGCAGGCACTTGTTGCGTTCTTTACCTCCTATTTAAGCCTTCTCCCTACATCAGCACTGCAGAGTTGCCAATAAAGCTGCAACCTTTAAACAGCTATAGGTAGAAATAGGAAGGGATGTGCATTTTGGAAGCTCCGCAACTACCAGCAAACCGAAAAGCAGCTGAACAAAAGAAGATATTTTTCCTTCAAAGTAGTGAATACCTCAGAGGAAAAGAAGCACAACAAAAATAGTGTCACAGCTAGGAAAAATGTAAGTACAAAATAATATGAAATAGTTGCAAATACTCTACATGCTGAGCAGTAATAGAAAAGAAAAAAACAAAAGAAATTCTAGAGAGAGGAATTAAAGCAGAATAATGTTTGAAAGAAGAAAACTTTGTTATATCAGTATTACTATAGATAGTAACATAGAAAAAATATAGAATAGGAGCAATAGAAAACACGTATAGGCTTGTAGGCTTCATATTTCACTGGTATAAACTAAAAAGAAATGTTAGAAAAGATTCCAAATATCTTATCATATGCTAATAGTAGAGTTTGCTTTGCTTATGAGAAAATGAACAGAAAATTATCCTTTAGTTGACTTGCAATCATCAAACGAAACTAAGTAGTGCACAACGAACTTTCAAAATGTATTGTTTGCAGAAAGATTGACTGGATATGTAGGATGAACAGTGTGATGATTCATCATCATAATTAGGTCCTGTATGGAGCACACTGGGCAGCAAGTGCTTTCCAGTGGTTTCGATCATTCACAGCATCTTCGGCATTGTCCCAAGGGACATTAATAGTCTTAAGCTCTTCCTTAACTGTTTGGTACCAAGTTTTCCGAGGCCGGCCTCGTTTCCTCTTTCCTCCAGAAGGTATCCAACATAGAACAATTTTTGGATTCTGGTCTTTAGGCATATGTAAGATGTGGCCAACAAGCCACATTCGGCATTCATTCACTTGTCTCAATAGGTGTTCTAAACCTGATCTTTGTAGTACCTCTTTATTAGTGATGTCACGATATGAGATGCGAAGTATTCTTTTCAAGCAGCATTGTTGGAAAACATTTAATTGTTTAATCATCCTGGTTGTACACTTCCATGTTTTACAAGCATATGCAGTATTGCAGTTGGTATAACAACACTCGTGAAGAGTTTTATCTTTGTGGTAATACTTATAGCTGCCATAGACCAAACTGGGCACATGCATTGAAACACAGCCGCTGCTAAACTAAACTAAATAAGAATTGGAAGAACAAGGCATTGAGCTATCATGGTGACCACACCTGCAAATGCAAATGAGATATGAGAAAGATGCAAAAATATATGGTTTTTACAAAGACCAGACAACGTTAGACCAGATACTATTGTCATCAGATGACAAATTGATTAAGAAACTGTACAGCTTTCTGTTAAATTTAAAGATGGAAGATGAACAAGTTAAAAGTTTTTTGGGCAAAAAACTTTGGGAACAATGTAGAGCTAGAAAAATGGCAAAACCTATGGGAAAGAAACTACAAAATAAGGAGGGCAGCTACTTATAAAGAAAATTTATATAAAGTGGCACTCACCACTTGCAAGATTAGCAAAAGTGTTTAAAAATGTGTCTAGCAATTGTTGGAAATGCAAACAAAATCCAGGCACATACTATCATCTTTGGTGGACATGCCCTAAAGCAAAGAACTATTGCTCAAAAATACATAGGTGGCTAGAAAAGATGATAGAGCACATGTAGACTATAAACTGGAATTATTTCTTTTAGGCATAATTTCAGAAAATTATAAGAAATGTGTATACTTAATATTACATATATTAACAGCAGCGAGGATTATATTTGCTCAATACTGGAAAAATGAAATACCATCTGAAGAAGATATAATTAAGAAAATTTTGGACAGTGCAGAAATGGATAGGCTCACATTGAAAATGAAGGGGAAGCGCCTCATATACAGAAAACTTATACAAAATGTTTTATAGATGGCATATGACACCAGTTAGATTAGCGAGAATGTTTAAAAACGTATCGAATATTTGCTGGAAATGTAAACAAAAACCAGGTATCTACTACCATGCCTGGTGGACATGCCCTAAGAAAAAGAAATTTTGGTTTAAGATCCATCGATGGCTGGAAAAAATGACTAAAATACAAATAGAATTTAAGCCAGAATTGTTTTTGTTAGGATTATTAGGAACTAATTATGGAAAAGAGAATAAATATTTAATATTACATGTATTGACAGCGGCGAGAATAGTATTTGCCCAATTTTGGAAAAATGAAGATTTACCATCTGATCAGACTATAATTACTAAAATTTTAGAATGTGCAGAAATGGATAGATTAACTTTAGAGATCAAAGAGAAAGAAGACTCTATCTACTTTAAAACATGGGAAAATTTTTATCAATGGCTAGCAATACGATAGAATGAGAAAAGATTTTGAAATTAACTTGGATGAATGTGATTTTAAGCATTAGTGATTATAACTAATTAATATTTTATTAATTATGGTTATTTAGTAAGATGAATATTATTTATTTATTATCTTTTATTCTTATGATTATTAACCCAGTTTATTATAATTGTTTAGTATTATATACAGTAAGTGATGTTTATTTGATTTTGGTACCCGGGCGGTAACTTGCTTGTTAAGCGTGGATTTTTTGCTGGGGGTAACCCCATCACTGTACCCATCCCCAATTCTCTTACGTTTACCTTTTCCTATACCCCTACTGATCCCATCCATTTCCTATCCTTATAAAACCCAATAAAATATTTATAAAAAGAAAAAAGAAAATGAAGGGGAAGCAAGATTCAGAATACTTTCAAACATGAGAATTTTTTTATAAATGGTTAGAAAAACGCAATAAACGGTAGGAATGGAAATTGTATTACGATTAATGTTAAACACATAAACCCAGACAAAGTGTTGCTTATTAAATATTAAAGACTGTTACTATAAAAATTAATAAAATATAAATAAAAGAAACAGCCGCTGCCATTCTAAGTCAATATAATTAATGTCCTTATCTGTATCTCCATTGATAGATATAATGTTGCCAAGTTAAGTAAATTGTTGGACTTTTTCTATAGCCTGGCCATTGACTGCTATAGGCATATCCTGAGCATTTCCGACTTGCATAAACTTGGTCTTCTCAAAATTTATATGTAAGCCAATTTTGTTGGCCTCGTTATCTAAAGTGGTGATCATTTCTTGCAAACACTCCTTTGTTTCACCAAGCAGTGCAATGTCATCCACAAAAAGTTGCTCTATGCATATCAAAACTCATGGAGAAGAGAAACAAGAATGGAGATAGTATACACCCCTCTTACTCCTGTATTGATGTTAAAGAAGGCTATGTTGCCACATTCTGTTTGAACACAGCAGCTAAAATTATAATACAGACTTTTAAAGATGTTGATAAAACATTGAGGAATACCATAGAACTTTACAATATTCCATAGTGATTCTTCATTAATCGAATCCAACCACTTTTTGAAGTCAATAAAATTGATTTCCATTGAAATTCTAAAACTCTTTTAGATGATATTTCTTAAGGTCAGGATCTGGTTGTTTACCAGAGTGTCCTTTCCTGAATCCTGTTTGTTCTTCACAAGTATGCATCCACTTGATGCTGCAATCTCCTGAGCAACAGAAGGCATAGTAACAATATTGTGTCTTGAACTTCAGTAATTGTAATTGGTTTCATATTAACTTCAAGGTCTTCTGGTTATGCAATGTTGGTAAAATCATAGATTAATTGTGATGTCGATTCACAATTATGTAATTCATTCCTTCTCAGTATTACTCTAGATTGCCTTTTAAAAGATTTAGGAAAAATTGAAAAGGTGTCAATTTCTTTAAATGATGGTGGTTAAAATAGATGTGGGATTTAGATGCTTGCCAATTAGCTAAAGAGCAGTGATTTTATTTCATTTGTAGATCTTAAAATATCGGGTCCCTGTTGGGAATTAAATGATGTGATTGACCATTTAATTGTGCCCCTCAAAACAAGAACTGCTCTATCACTGTAGCTTAAAATGGATCCTGCTCTTTAATAGTTAACAATATTATAGAGAAAAGACAGTCCAATTGTAGTTGAAAGCTTGTGGTATTATCAGTACTTATAACAGCCACACAACATATATTGGAACAAATCATTCCTTGTTTGAGCAATACAAAAACTTTATTGCAAGAATAGTTGGTGTTGTCAGGTCTGGCAAGTAAACAACTGTTTTGTAATAAGCCTCTGACTTCTATTATTTCTTTAAAAATTCACTTTTCAGGGTAGAGATGGACAAAAAGGTAACAGGCAGGCCCTGTAGTAAGGCTTTGTTTAGTAAGCTGATTTTTATTTAATTTTTTTAACTACAGTAGGCTTATACAACATTTCCAGCATGGCCAGAAATCACTCACATTGTGAGACTGTAAAGGTCTCTCACACTCTCACAAAGCTTAACAAGCTGAACAAACAGTCTCAGCTTGGAAAGATGCTTTATGCTGCTAAAAAGTTGAGAGCATTCCTAATGACCTCCAACAATGAGTTGCAGTGGGTAGCATTGCTGAGTTTCCTAGAAAGTTAACTATGCTCTTTGCTTAGTGGTGAAACCATAACAGATCCCTAGTGCAACTGCAGTCATTCATTCATTGGCATCCTTCAGTCTCGAGAGACTATGGTATTGTGCTCTGGAAAGAGGTCCTAAGGCAGCATCTGGTGTGGCTAAAAAGGCCAATTCGAGAATGGCAGTCCCTTCCACACTGAT